TTATGTGTATTTTTTTTAATTTATGTTTAGGTATTTATTGCATGAAGTTGTTGATTGCTAGAGGTAGAGAGACGACCATTGAAAGAGTAGGCTCTATTCTCCATTTCAATCATCTTTGGTTTATCTGATCTGTTTTTAATTAATTTTGATAACAAAAATAATACATGAAATTTGTATTATTTTGACTAAACAATAGTGAATATTTACTTTTAAAACTATGTGAACCAATCTATGTCACTAAGTGTTTGTGAATTTGTCTGAATCACCATTCATTACACATTGTTATTGATGTTTGGGTTCTTGGTTGTGCGACATACAGAGTATTTAGGAGATAAAGTGATAAACTGTTAGTTTTGATCTCTCTTTTTTCTATGGAAACTATTTTCTTCTTGAAAACCCATGAGTTGGTATAGCCTTTATCTTGAAAAAATTATAAGAGTGAATAAATGTAAAGCTATATTGCGTATGAGAAAAATGTTGGTGTAATCGCATGTTAATATAGCTTGTACCTTGTGCTGAAAAGATTGTGGTATGAGTTAGTCCACCATGTTATACGGTATTAACATGAGCCCATAACTTATACCATAAGATTCCGTCATTCCGTTAATTAACCTGAGCCCATAAATTCAATTTGGTGCGTGTCTTCCTTAGACAAGACACTGTACGTCTTCCTACGGCTCATCAGATTCTACGAGTCTTCCTTCCTCCACCTCCATCAATCTTACATCTTTCGCTAGACCTCCCAAAATGTTAGACTGTTTTTCATCTTTTATGTAGCGTCATTTATTTTCTATTCATTGTTAAATGTTTACCCTACATAAAGAGACACCCCTGAATGGAGTGGTTGAATCTTGAAAACCCTCGAATGGTTTATCAGGATGGTTGTTGATGGCGCAGAATGGCGTGTTCGCCATGCGCCATGAGGCGCACATATCCCCCCTGCGCCATGAAAAGTGACCGTGGCACTACATATACAAGTGGTGACGCCATTTGGGCGCCATCGCCATTTGTACGTCACCGCCATGGCGATGGGCCATCTTATTTAACGAAATAGAAGTACAGGCTCGCGAGTCCAGGGAAAGTAGAAAGAGAATTCCGACGATGAGTGTAGACAAAAACTGTCCGAAACATCTGGAATCCATGGGAAACGTTCAAAAATTTTTTGAACCCGGAAGGCAAACCACCAAAATCATCCCAAAAAAATAGTTACTACGGTTGTTACTTTTTTGCATAAAATGAGTTTCATTTTTAACCATCCAAACCAAATGTTGTTATTTATTTATGCAAATAAGTCATGTTTTAATCATATTTGTTCTCACATCGAATCTGAGACCAATCCTTATCCTATGAACTTTTCCCCATTGTCTGGATACCCCACTGATGGTAATAAGGACAGTCAAAGTCTCCAACACATTAAGAATAGCTTTATTGGCGATCCTTAAATCATCTAGTGTATAGTCTTAAGCTGTGACTTGAATTTGTTGCTTACATTAGGTATGTGAAATATATGTGTATTATACGACATATGCCACATGTTATGTTGTTTTTGTTGCTCCCCTGTATTCCGCCTTTTCCCAATGAATTATACAATAACCCTTTGCTCTTCTTGTCCATCCAGTCCTGTTACATTTTCTTTCAAAACATCAACTAACATTAATATTTTAGTAGTTTGAATAATAATTATTTAGTGTCACCCTTTGCAGATGCCCTATTTACTATTGACCAACACATTGAGGTTTCAGAGTACATGCAAAAAGTGGGTTCAGAGCAGCATGTTTGTGTGTACATTGTTTTTGGTCCAATGTAAGTTTTATTTTTTATTGAAAAGTTTTTCTGTCTTTTCTACTCCCCATCCATTGTGTCGGGAAGCATGTAACATAATAAGGTGTTGAACTGCGATAGGTGAATTGTTTAGAAAGAAGACATGAATTATTGCCTGAGCATCCATTTGCATGTGTGTGGTGATAGGTGTGGCAGAAGGGCTGGCCGATGAGCAGCTGTGAAGGGCTGCTTGTGTAATGAGCACGGTGACTGCGTTTGGGGATCTGGGCGATATAGTGAGCTGTCCAAAGTCTTGACAGTGAGCTGCCTGGGACTAGGGTAGGTGAGTGGAGCGCAAGGGGGTAAATTTTATATGTGCATGTCAAAGTTTATTTGAGAAAAGATACTTCTCAGTTCTGACTTTTTTTAGGTAAATAAAAAAAATTGAACAATGTGTAGCAACAACAACAAAAACCAAGAGTAGCTAACATTCAGCACAAACCATGATTCTAATGGAAGAAATCTTTAATGTCAACCATGCATGCTCAATTTGATGATATTTGCAGGTTTGATATAAGATTTGAGACACCAAAGGCGGCAGAGCCACCGACAAGAGAAAAAAAAGCTACCAGCACCTGGATACCAATCTGCTAAGGGTAATCCTCAGGCACAAAATACACACAAACAGGACCTAAGACTAGCAATCCTGTGCTAAGGCTGAAGAGGCCTGAAGGTGTTCGCGGGTCAGTGGCTGCTGATAGAACTCCCAGCTCTTCTGCTTAGATAGCAGGCCAAGTCTCTCAATTGTTGACAGCGTAATCTGAACCTCTCAGCTACCGATAATACCCCTGCTTTCTCTGCCTTGGTTAGTAGCCTCAGTTGCTCTACCCTTGCAGTAGTTTCACTGGTGCTACTGCTGCTTTTGAGTTCCTCACCTTTTATGCTTTCTTTTTTGTGCCAATAGCAATCGAAGCTGGAAGGATTGGCTTCTGGGTAGAAAAGCAAGTTTTTGGCATGGCCATGCAGTCCATCATCTATCGCTGCACTATTTGGTTGGTGCTGCACTTGCCTTTATTAATAATTTTAAGCTAACCCATTTTGAGTTCTGTCTGTTAAAATAATCTCTATATTCAATCTCCCTAACTTAGCAACTTTCATGACTTTAATGTACGTTGCTTTACTTTAAAGTTGTGTATCATGTCTTTACAAGTACATTGTATGCCTTAAATGCTTCAAAGTTGAAATTTTCAACAAATTCTCAATCATTATTCTAGCATTTTTACATTTAAACTCTCCAATAGGTTATGAAACCAGTGGCTAACCACTAATTGAGCATTATAGGCTTTGCCCCAGTCTATATATAAAGCAATGCCATGTATGCAACTGAACGTGGATGTATAACTAATTCTTTCTATAAGCTAGCTCTACTCAAGCGTGTAAGTTACAATTCTGTTTGATGAAAGTTCTACCATTTGGTCAAGGGCATAATGGTCAAGATATGCGTGTGAATCTATACTTGTCTATTTATTTACTCATGGTTGATGAATCGAGTAAAAAAGTCTTAAGGTAACAAAGCTTATGTCTATGGGTATGACTGTATGAGGTGTTCGCGTCATGTATCATATGAACCTTCTGAAGTACAAGAACATGATACTCAGCTTGGTACATACAGTGTAAGCCTCGATATTGATCACATGCACCAATCATCATTTTTCAAAAGTCTTGTATAACACAATATTTACAAGTGAACTAAATACAATAATCTGATTTTGTAATCAATCAAGAGAGAAATTAATATCTAGTGACACATCAACTGATTATTTTTGAGAAATTAATATCCGTTAAAATTCTCCCCACTTACATTTTTGGGACGTCCAAAAAAATTCTTTCTATTTTTCTTTCTGGAAAGTTTTGTATAACTAACATTCATTTACCTTTTTCTTATTCAACAATAATCAAACATTTTCACTTTACTCTCACTTGTTTAAACTGTGATCCAAATTAAACCAGTAAGTATTTTATGTGATGGAAGTAAGTTGATATGATACAGTTTCAATTGGAAAGAATAGAAGAATTGATTCCGTACGGAGTCCCATGTTATGTAGGTCTGAGCTTATGGGCGGTAATCGAACATATTGACAAAATAACGGTAAATCTCGATCTATTTGGTGTGAACTGTCTATAAACCTTCTCCTCTAATCTCACTACAAGGTGATTAATTGAGACAATCGATTTAACTTCACTTCTCAAGAATCATTGATATATAATACATTGATGTGACATTTCTCATACTTGAAAAGAGACCTACATATAATACACGATCAAAGTGTGAATATCGTCTCCAAGGGAATGAAAAATGAGAATCGAGTACTGAACTATTATCAACGATTTCATAAAACTAGTTTAAATTGCATTTTAGTCACTTGAGTCATATATTAAATGATCGAGTATAACAATCATAAATATTTTATTTTATCATCTAGTAATATTCTCATGGAGGAGTGGATCAATTCAATGAGAAAATTAAAATAGAAGATGTGCTAAGATCGAGAGGAACGTTACATCTCATACACTTATAGAATCCTTATATATTTTTATTATTATATTGGTAAATATATTTTCCGCTAACATGTGAGTATATTAATGACTGAAACCTTAACATGAGAAAGTTGATCAATAGAAAGACATGTGGATGCACATTAATAGATATTATTAAGCTTAATTGAACATCCTTAAACAACCTTGTATAAAAAGGGAAAAAATAAAGGAATTAAATAAACAAAATAAACGTGCCAAAAGAACAGTTGTATTCCCAAAACTCTTTTAAGCAGTCAATCTATGTATGCTTAATTACCCCAAATGCTTCGAGCTCGCTAAACCTTTTGAAAATTTGAAGAGTGATTTCTTGTTTCATATCTCAATTTATGTAGGCTAATTATCGAATTTCATTAATTTAGGGCATGCAGAAGTTCATATACAAAAATTAAAAATGTGAAGGACGGACTCATGGAAGGAGTATTTGGTAAATATGAACCAATATAGTAGTAGTTTTTATGTTTTGTAACTCAAAAGAATGTTTGTATGTTTAGTAATATTACCTCATTGATTTCCCTTCAATAGTTCTATCCCTTTGAGCGAGTCAATAATATATTCCAACACATCTCTTCTATTAAAAACTAAAAATTGATCAAATGATCATAAATCTTTCACCCAATGACCCAACCAATACTACACTTCTCCCACTTTTTTATAACTCCAATAAAATAAGTAGAACTAATATTGTTCAAAAATGATGTTTGTACTCACTCTTACACACACTTTTGTATCCACTCATGTTTATGAAAGTTTTTTTTGTCTGTGAACATTGTACAAACAAAACTTCACAAACGTGGTAAGTATAAGATGGATATAAGGATAAGCATATCCTTATATCATAGCATTTTAAAGGAAATGTTACCCTAGATGACCAAATAAATAGCTGTGTACACAAGTGTTTTTATTAGGAAGGTTGACAACTCTCTCTACCTTTAACCGTTTGGTGCGTAAGTTCTTAGTAAAGAAGGGGCGGGGCATGAGAATCCGCAACGCCTTTGTCTTCTCTATTCACGCGTAATCGTAAAAGGTCTTCTAAGGACGAAAAGGTCATTTCCCTACTTCTACGCGTCTATATATAAAGAACTTAAATCTGACACTCTTCTTGGTAGACTAGACGACTGAAGCAACGGTGCTCGTGCATCGCCGCCTTTCTTCGTCCCTACCGAGTAGTATCCGTCTCCGGCGACGGCGAATCCGCGCTTAACGTGGGCGATATCCTTGAGAAACAAGAAAGCGTAAGTTTCTAGGCTCATTGCTTTGATTTCCGTGAATTAGTCCTTTCTGTGTGTTTTGGTAAAACAGTGGTACATAAGTACATTTACTGTTTCAGAGAAATTTGAGTACGATATGTCGGCTTTTGCAGGTTCTGATTTTTGAGCTAAAAAAGAAGGAGAAAAGAAAGCGGAGGAGGCTTTTTCTGTGAATCGGAATCTGGGAATCTGGAAATGGGAGTGAAAGTAGCGGCGGCGTGTTTGCATTGGTCGCAATCTTCAGTTCCACATCCGCCATCGCCTCCTCATCATCATCCTCAAACCATCGCCTCCTCGGTTTCGTCTTTTTCAAAACGACGCAGATTCGCCGGAAGTGAACGATCTGTCGTTTGCCGGTTCGTCCACAAGCTGAACCGGCCGGCTACGCTTGGAACCCAACCAGCAAAGCTCCCCAGGTCCCGATCCTGCGAGCTCCTGAACCTGAACCCCCCTGCACAACCGACGATGAGACGGGCTTGTAGTGCCTATCTAGATTCCTTCTCTGACGAGGGATTTTCTAAGAGAACTGAAGATTTGGATTTAACTTTCCATCTCTCAGATGAGGAAGAAGAAACAGAAATCTCGAGGTCTAATGAATCTGATGAAGTAACCTGCCGGAGCTCTACGGCGCGAGATAATCGGAGAGTTTTTGATCGCTTGGAGCCTCCAGATTGGATCCATAGAGTAGGGATGGTTCCGACCGGTATAGATCGTGGGGCAAATAGTTTCGGCATCCCTCTGTCTTTGCGGATTATGGAGAGAAAAATGCAATGGCGAGACGGGTTCAGAGATGCAGGGGAGTTGCTGACATGTTCTTCGATGAAAATGGCCTTTTCTAACATGGTGTTCATAATCCAGGAACTCCATCGCCACACTTTCAAGATGAGAGAGATGTTGTTCTATGAAGATTTAGAGGGTATAATTGGGAGAGTGCAGAGAGATATGCAAGCATCTTTCGTGTGGCTATTCCAGCAAGTCTTCTCACAGACTCCAACGTTAATGGTCTATGTGATGATACTTCTTGCCAATTTCAGTGTCCATTCTTTAGCTACAAGTTCTGCTTTTGCTTCTACCCCTCCATGTGACACTGAAGAGGTCTCTGTGGTTGAAGGTCATCACAGCCATATAAATCAGAAATTTGATTTTTCAACCTTTTCAGCATCCTCTTCTTTTAACGGGAAGAGCATGTCGATTGGCGGAAACAGTGGCGGAGGCGGCAAATTCAGGCCAGTTGCTGGTGGGACCGATGGTGATGGGAGGAGGTTTGATGGTCTAGCCATTGCAACTGATGGAGTGTCTTCTTCAGCTACTACTGAAGAACAAACAGTTTCTTCTGATAAGGTTTCCAGTGAAGAAGAGTTGTTGTGGAAGTCTATTTGCGATGAGGCTTCAAGATTGCAATCTGAGTCACGAGATCCATCTTTGGATCGTGATACCATTATGGATTTCGTTTCCCCCGTAACCGTAATAGGGAAGATGGAGTCTTGTGATAATGCAGATTATTTTCGAACGGAGTTGTTTTACCAAACAGAACTTGCCCAAGAGCCCAAGAATACCCTTTTGCTCACCAATTATGCTCAGTTTCTTTACATGGTTGTTCAAGACTATGACAGGTACATCCATCCTTCATTTCTTTTATGTTAGAAATAATGATAAATTCTTGACACTTAAAATTAATGGCCAGGGATGTAAGTTTTAATATGCAATGTCCAAGATCAATTTTTTACTGATATTAGTTTCCATATTGGTCCAATTTTACACTAGTTGTACTTTTTACCATGAGTACTTTTAGTAGTATTACAGAGAAAACACCTGTTTTAGACTATGTTAGAGAGGAGAGTTATAATCTAGTGAGATGGCTACTCCTGGTAGGAAGGTTCAAGTGTTTTTGGTTGGAAAAGATGGAATACTGATGTGTGATTGGTAACAGAGCTGAGGAATACTTCAAGAAAGCAACAGAGGTGGAGCCAAAGGATGGAGAGGCATTAAACAAATACGCGACGTTTCTTTGGCAAGCGAAGAATGAACTTTGGGGAGCAGAAGAGGCCTACCAAGCAGCCATAGACGCGGAGCCTGCGAATTCCTTCTATGCTGCAAGTTATGCGCATTTTCTATGGAATACTGGCGGAGACGACACTTGCTATCCTCTGGAAGATGACGATCCAGCCCAATATGATGATATTTGAAAGGAAATGGAAAAAGAATGGAAAGAATGCTGAAAAAGAAAAAAACAAGAACAGAAGAGAACAAGAGTGAAGGAAAGTAATGGGTTAGTGCTCTTATTGGAAATCTTGCTGACAGATGAGATAGGGTGGTGGACGGGTAGAATCATGGGTTCTCAAATGAAGCTCAAAGCATAGACAACCAGTAATGGTCTCCATACTGGTCCAGAAACTAGATGGAGTTGCAGATAAGAGGATGGGGATGGCTCTGCTCAGTTCTTCTGTTCTTTTTTTACTAAAATTTTCAAGCTATGCACAGTTGGTTCAAGTTTTAGATATGTTGGTTGTTATAGAATGGCATTTGCATATTGTAATTAAACGTCCTGTTAATATCATAAATGCCCAAACTTTACCTCAATTACTTTCGTTTAAAGTTTTATTACTGTGTAAAAGGTGTCGTAATTTAACAGCAACGGAGCACTATTGCATCACAGTGCTATAGATGGTGACAAAAACGATCACCTTATCTTGGCAATGTCATCATCATCATCCGTCCATTAGCTAGCTTCGCATTTTTCGCTGGGTGGAACTCACGTTATCTCTTTGTCTTCACTCTCTTATCAAACACCCATCGCAAACATGCTTTTCCGGTGAATGAATTGGTCCTTATGATTACCGACTTGTTTACTGTGGCACTCATTTTAAATCACATCAATTACTTAAATAGTGCGAGTGTATAAACTCCTTTGAAAGGGTAAGTAATAAAATTCCCATACAATTTCTTAATAAAAGCAAAAGTTGGTAAAATCTAATGGGATGAAATAAGTATTACAGAGTATGTAGTATAAAGTTTGTATAATACTCCGTACTACATATCAAGCTAAAACGGATCATGGTTTAAACATTTTAGTCCAACTAGTTAAGAATAAGACATTAGACGGATTTAGACCAAACCAATCTAATACTATGTATATATCAAATCAAACTAACCGGGTATTATCAAATCAAAATATTTGATGATATTATGCTTTATTTCGTCTATTTCAAGCGTTTTATAGTTCGTTAGAAAGACCGTTTTGTGTTTTAAAACTAATGTTCATCACATATTCGATTTCCAATATATTAAAGAATCGGTATAGTTAACCTGAAATTCATAACATATTCGATTTCACTCCGAAATTGGGGCAAAACTGTCTCGGGTCCACCCATACACATTCTATAAACCACGAATTATAAAGAATGTGTAGAACAAATGAGCAGGCATTATTTCATAAGAAAAGATGAATTGATTTGAAAGAAACTAGCTACACCAATGGAGAAAAAAATGAATTGATGGAGACTAGGCAGATATTTTTTATAGGCAAGACTTGACGGGTCGATTCAGAAAAATAATACTGTAGTAGTCCTTATTATCTTAGCACTTACTATGTGGGAAGTACTTTGTGGGGAGGAGGGACTTAGGGAGTGACACGTGAAAAACAGTACTCTAGAGAATGAGTGCTATCCCTTTCAGACTTTTCCCATTTTAGCACAAACCATGCGCATTTACATTTCTTTCATTCATGTTTGGGTAAATAAACTTAAGCCCAAAAAAATAGAGCACGGGGATGAGATATTGTCATTCTTATCATCCTATGGCTTGTGGTTCAAGTCCATGTCAAGGAGAAAATGGCAATCCAAACACGTGTATCATTTAGAAGTAACATTTTAACAACTCCTAACCCCCACCGCCCTAAGGCCGTGTAGGCGTCAACTGAGCGTTACATCTAAACAGATTATATACCTCGATCGGTATACATGTAACGCCGTTGAATGATTTAAATCATACAGAGTATGACATTGCACAGTATGTAGTCTGGTTTTAGTTGTACGTTTCAATTCATTGAATCAACGTTGACGCTCAGACAGAATAAAAGATCATTTTAGTTGTACGTTTCAATTCATTGATTTTAGTTGTACATTTCAATTCATTGAATTAACAATGATGCTACAGGTGCAAATAAGATCAATAAATTATTAATGTATGATGAAAATGAGTCGGGGGTAGGTCGAGCAGACGAGCATTACATCTAAAGACGTATGATCATAACTCTCCATTCGATTACCTAAACGTCGTTGAATAAGTAATATCATATGATATTAAAAATCGAGTACACTGGTTTTAGTTGTATGTTTCAATTCAAATTAACACTTACTCTACAACTCAAAATAAGATGATAATAGTGTATGATAAAAATGAATTGAATCAGTTTACCTTTATTGCCTCTTGATGGTCATTAGATCTCAGTTTTGAATATGTTGGTTGAGGTTGGGAATATAGTCTTTAATCTATTACATAGTAGTAACATTTTAACAACTCGTAACCCCCACCGCCCCAAGGTCGTGTAGGCATCAACCGAGCGTTACATCTAAACAGATTATATTCCTCCATCAGTATACGTGTAAGGCCGTTGAACGAGTTAAATCATACAGAGTATGACATTACACATTAGGTAGTCTCGTTTTAGTTGTACGTTTCAATTCATTGAATCAGCGCTGATGCTCAGACAGAAAAAAGACCAGTAAGTTAATAATGTGTGATGAAAACAAGTCCAACGTAAGACAAGCGTTACATTTAAAAATGTACGATTATATCCCTGCATCAATATACCTAAAATGCGGTTAAATGAGTTAAATAATATGATTTTATACATCGGGTACTCCGATTTTACTTGTACGTTTTAATTCATTGAATTACTCTCTCCGGTCCCTATTAAAGTTCCCAGTTTGACTTCACACAGATTAAGAAAATAAATTTGACTTTACTGTGAAATGCACTGTTTGGCACTGTTTGGACACTATTTGGCACTGTTTGACACTGTTTTGCATTGTTTTGTTTCCTACAATAGAAGTGTGAACTTAAATAAGAGACATCCCAAAAGGAGAGTGAGAACTTTAATAGGGACCGGAGAGAGTAACAATGATGCTAGAGTTGCAAATAAGACCAGTAAATTATTAATGTATGATGAAAATGAGGCAGGGGTAGGTCGAGCATTACATCTAAAGACGTATGATCATAACTGTCCATCAGTTTACCTAAACGTCGTTAAATGAGTAAAATCATTCTACGTCTGATATTAAAATCGAAATCGAGTACTTAGTTGAAAATGAGATGATATTAGTCTATGACAAAAATGAGTCAGTTTACCTTTATTGCCTCTTGATGGACATTACATCTCACTTTTGGTTGAGGTTGGGAATATAGTCTTTTACTCCCTCCGTTCCCAAAAATACTTCTCACTTTCCTTTTTGGGCTGTTCCCAAAAATACTTCCCACTTTCCCATTTTGGACAATTTGTGTGGCTCACATTCATTTTACCTTTTTTCTTACACAATCACAACCATATATTTTCACTTTATTCCACTTTCTTAATAAGCGTGCCAAGTCAAACCGGGAAGAATTTTTAGGAACGGAGGGAGTACTATATTCTTAATCTCACATACATAGTAGTTGGAGTAACAAACATACAACTCTATGATAGCTACGTCAATTAGCTACACAATTTATTTACATTAATACCTGTTATTATTTTTTAAGAATGTGTTAGGAAAGAGAAACCATGTGCTTGATTATATTATTACAATAATCTATAGATTAACTCCTCAAAACTAAATCCGTGGTTCCTGTACTTATCTAAACTTGTTAATTATTTTTCGCGGCATGTGAGAGCAGTAAAACTTACCTAAAAGAGATGTTAGGTTTAGGAATAATTATCTTTCCATAAGTGGTAATCGAAACGTGTCGGTCACCAGATATCAGACCACAAGTGTACCAATAAATAAAAAAGAATTACTTGGAATGCATATTATATGGTAGAAATTAAAGTAAGATTGCCACTTTTGGAATATAGAAATTTCAATCATCCAATGTGAAATGCTTTCTCACTTGAAAAGTGATGAACCGTGGTGAATTATTATTAAATGAGCTAGTAGTTACGCCATTATGATGATTTTTACTAATGCTAAAATAAGTGTCACATCTCCTTTTATGAAAATAAATGTGTAGTTTGCAAGATTTCACTTAATTATACTCAAATCTCAATAACAGATTTTACTTTTATAATTACTTTATTAATTATTGTGTCAAGTCAAATAAGTTGGATACATAAAATGGGACGAAGGTAGTAGCTAGTATCGATAACAATATATTGCTATAGCACAACTATTGGCACAATCATATCACAAAACCGCACTGGTACGATAAAGTAGGGGTGGATAATTCGGTATACGTTTCGGTTTTGATCGATTTTGATTCTGTTTCGGTTTATTCGATTTGGGAGATACCATATCAAATTAAAACTATTTTTGTTTCGATTTGGTTTATTGGTTCGGTTTCAAGTTAGGTTTACCAAAGTGAAAATTATTAGATTCAATTTAGTTCAATTTGATTCGGTTTCATATGCTTATTGTTTTAATTGATCAACCTCTATATTTTAGCATTAGAAAATAAAAATATTAATCCATCTTAACTTCTTGTATTTATTATTTAAATAAAATGTAAGGGAAAATAAAAGATAAAAAAATACAAGTTTACACATAATTTATCTTACTTAAAATGGTGACACAAAAACGTCTAACATCTTTTCAACCGCTAGAAAAAGTTTACTTCTAACTACAAATAAGTTTAAAGTAGATTAACATTTATAATATCACATAAAATATTCAATGAAAACTAAATGAGTCGGCGGTAAGGTTGTAAAATTTACAGTTTTATTCAAATGAATCATGAAAAATTTATAGTGTACTCTAGTTTAGCTAACTAATATAAATGGAATTTGCTACTATCATCGTCAAACATCTTTTCATATAGGTAGAGTATAAAATACCACAAATGCAAGTATGTTTTACGATGTGTTAGCTAACTTTGTCATACTTAATGTCTGAAATGTGTAAAAATTAAAATGATATATACATAGTATATGCTAAAGATGTATTTTTCATATATAAATTATTTAGTTACATCCTAAAGATGAAGAGCGAAGACAAATACAAAATATTTTTATAAATATTAATACAAGTTGTTCGGTGTTCGATTCGGTTTACGGTTTTGCGGTTTAAAACCTAACCGAACCAAATCAAACTAAACCAAACCATTCAGTTTGAATAAATTGTTATGATCCAGTTTGATTTGGTTAAATAAACCCAAACCAAATCAAAGTATCAATTTTCGGTTTGATTTGGTTTGATTCAGTTAAACCAAACCGTTTTTCCCATCGATGAAAAGTTTGAACAAATAACTAAGAATAAAAACCTGTAGCGGTTGTGTGGAAGTCACAAATCTTGTATGTCAAACTAAGCCTCATGTGTATACGAGTATAAGGTCTATCACAACGAGAACCGATTGAGTCACGGTGATTTACCATTTGTACAGACTACCGCGTCAGGACACGGGAGTGGCTCTTGGAGTTTGGGGATTCAAGTATTTGGACAAAATTT